AAGCCATAATGGCTGGTGCTGGTGCTGGTGCTGTTGACAGCAAGGTAAAGTTGCCCTTTCCTGCAGCAACAGGCACTCCCCTCTGCCCATTTCACCAGCCAAAGCATCAAGCCAAGCTTTTACGGGTTTTCCATCCCAGTCCCTCCTCTTGCTCCTGGCCAGATCCCAAAGGCAGCAATGATCAGTTCTGCCTCTATGGCCAACAAGTCATGAGCTGTGGCTGGTTATGACACTGTCATGTGTTCTCCGGGACAGAAAGGCATGTGGTGGACACTTCTTCTGTTTCTGGTTTAAACGTACCTTTGAAAACTTATTGTCTTAACTAGGTTGAGCTGAAGTGGTCAATGACATTTTTGGATGCTACTCACATATACATGCATGTACCTGCATATATCTTCTATTTAAGAGTCTCCAGTATGACTATATTCACAGCTTTCAGTTCAGATGGCACTCCAAGACACCCACATGCTGGTTTTTTGCCTCAAGTGCTTAAAGAGAGAAATGGAGGCTCCAGCTCCTTGTTCTGGTGGCAACCTTCTTCAGATGAGAAACCTCCAAAGAGAGGAGCTTCAGGAGCAACGTCCAGTAAAGGTGCTTAGTTGTGTAAAACAGACTGAAGACTGGAGGAAGGTGGCAGCTGTCATCTGAAGGTGTTGTAAGTGGAGATGCCACTGCAGACCCCTGCATCCCTGTGCAGATGCCAAAGGCCGTAAGAGGAGCCCTGAGTGTAGCCCAGGTTTCAGTGGTATCTCTGAATCCAGAAGCTATTCTTGGACACCACCTACTGGCATTTTCCCTATTAACTATTCTCCAGATGAGCAGTTGTACAGGGTGTCAGTGACTTCCCAAGCTTGGAAGAAGAGACAAATTTGGCCTTCCTTGACCTTTCCAGTGAATGTCCTGCTTATTTTTCTGAGAGGGGAGCAGCCCTGGGGCCTTATGAAAGGCTCTGTTATGTAAGGAAGAGGTTTTTACAACTAGGAAAGGGGATGTCAGTGCCAAAAGAAGTACTGTGAATGGAGGTGGGTGAAAGAAACAAACAAAAAAAATTTAGAAAATAACGGAAAAATGTCTGCAGTCACTAGTGTGGAATAAACTGGAGTTCTCACTACCACAGCTCTGGAGGTGGGGGCATTTTATACCCATCAAGTACCAGTTTAGATTGCTTTTCAAGACACAGAGCATATAAGTCCATGATTTTTCTTTTCTCATCAAGGTTTACGTGCCACTGAGGAAAAGAAAAAAAAAAAGCTTTTTAGTTTTTTGGCTGCAACATTTTAAAACAGAAATGAAGAGGAGGTACAGCCTCTGACTGCTCTGCTTTTCGGCACCAATACCAAAAGCCATAGTGCTGATGCTTATAATTCCTGACATGACGATAAAAAAAAAAAAAAAGAGCAAAAGCCTATGGTGGTCAGTCGTCCTCGTCTGCACAGCAGACAAGGGCTGTGCTCAACCTCTGCACATGCCGTGGCATGCAATGGGAAGAAGACTCGCAGCTGTAATGGCTCCTCATGGAAAGAGGAGGCAATCCTGCGCTCCCTCCAGCTTTCTGTCTGTGACCTGCCACAGCTGTGGGTTTTCAGCAAAGCAACCCAAGCTCCTAGTGCACCCATGGGTCCTAATTGCTCTGAACAGCCTCAGCGGGGGCCTCCACCCATACCCTCTGCCCAGCAGCACTATTTAAGCCCAACCTTGGGCTGCATTGTATGTGGCTTGGTTTTTAGTTTTTTTTGACTGGTTTGGGGTTGATGAGTTATAGCTTGTCTCCAGCCTGTTTCATCTAACTGCAACCCCTGGACTTAGTGCACCCATTGACTGTGTCTGGGGCTGATGACAGAAGCTGCTGTCAGTACCCAGCTCCGCTCAGGTACTGCGGGATTGTGCTTGTGTGTGAGGGCACTGCCTGTGCTGGGGGTCTCCTTGTCCTTCTTTGCATGGCACTGCTGCTCCCTGATGTAGGTAAAAGCTATTACTACTCTTCCACTTCTTGTCACTCATGCAACTATCTCCTCCAGGGTTTTTCAATGCAAGTTTCTCTTGCTACATGTATGGTTTTTAATCCTGTTTATATTTGTCTCAAAAGCCACATTGTCTTCTCTGGGGATCAAGTCTAGATTTAAAATCATAAACTGATTTATCTTCCCATGAGAAGATGGAGAAGGCTGTCATGCCACCATCTGCCCAAGGCCTGTTGAGACTCCATGTTGCCTACCACAGGGTTCCTGAGCCTGTTCACCTCCTTGCTCCCTGCTAGGTTTTTGCCCACAGCCTGGTTTTTGCTTTCAGTTAGATGAAGACTTAAGCTCACTGATTTATTTTTTTTTTACATCTATATTCCTCTTTTGTTCTCAGAATGGTCTTGCAGGTTTTCTTCTTTTAAGTTCTGTGGATGAGATGGTTTCTCTGAAACATCTCTGCAAACTGTATTGACTGAGGATAAACTCTTGCTGTCTGTGACTGTCATGAAAGAGTAGTTTTGAGCAATAAGCTCTAGCCTTATCCAAGGCACAAAGATCCCCCAGATAGTCTACCTGTGAGGTCTTAACTAAGCACTCATCCTTCTGGCATGGTCAGAGCTCTTTTCCAAGCATTCTTACTTTAAAAGACCAGTGACCTTTTGGGCATGTCTGACTCTGACTTACAGTTGGGAAGGCAGAAATGTAGCAGGGCTGTTTTGGTGCTGTGCATCCAGGGGTCTGAGTCAACCATTAGTACCTGCAGAGAGAGTGGTGTAGGTAGGAGGGTCTACTGGGACTTTGAGGGTTTATTTTGCCTTTGAATACTCATCTGCTTTTCTGTTAGATGTGGAAGTTGATGTATAAAAGAGGTATGGTCAAGCAGCCTTTGGAAGTGGAGCTTCTTCAGTATGGTGTACGTGGGGTGTGAACCCATAAACATAATGGCTTCTAATATAAGGAACTTTATGAAATGATTATGATGCCTCTTCCTCCAGCAAAACTGGAATTATCTTCCTTCAAACACTTCTACTTTCTGTTGTATGGCATATTGCAAAAGAAGGCTTTCACTCCTGTGCCATATCACCCAGGGCTCTCCTTTCAGATGAGTCTTGCCAAGTGAGAGATGTGTTCCTGGAAAACACTTACAAGTCCTGAGAGCATGTCTCTGGCTGAACAGCTTTCTCTGATTGGGCAAGTACTCTTTTTATGGCAAGTAAAATCAGAGGAGACTTACAGCCTACACTGATATAATGTGATCTAGCCATGCCATACAGTCCTTTCATTATAATGAATGATGGATCTAGTTGTTATTACTTTGTTTTATTACTGTAACAGGTTTGAACTGCACTTGCTGCAAAGGATGAATGCATTAGGAAGGAAAACACTGGAACTCTTGTGGTTCAAACCCACTTAAGGAAAACTGTGCATGCCAGGCATGGACTAATACACTGTTGGAAAAAACCTTGCTGCTGGGGTTTGCTCTCTTCAGTGTGCATTTCCTAATTTTAAAGATGGAATTCATGTGTTATACTTCTCACCTTATTGATAAGGTCTCTGAGAAGGTATCTGTGGTCAGAACAAGTCTTTTCATAATTAATACTAGCCCTTGATTCCCAGTTGCTTACAGGTAGTTGTTTAAAGTAGATCTTGTATCTGCTGGTGTTTAGACTCAGGAGCTTTGCAGGGCCCTGTGGTAGACTGGCAGATTATATAGCCTATAGATAATCTGTTTGGCAGCAGTAACCTTTCTGTGTCTTAAACAAAAATATGCTATGAGAATGATGCTGTGTAGGTCTATAGGACCTGACTCTAACTTCCATAGACCTTAAAACAAGTCATAATATGCCTCAACTTGTGTGACAGTCTGAGTTTCTAATGCTGATGAAAGAGGTGTGAGGAGTAGGGATTGACCAGCCAGCCACCTGTATTAAGTATGGCCTATATTACATGACAGTAGGGTGCCTTAGACTCTAAGACTGCCAAAGCCCTGTGATCAAGGTGCTTCCAGATAATTGGGAAGCTGTAATGCAGAAAAGGATGTCTTATGATCCAGAGAGCTGACAGTTCAGCTTGCTCTTGTGCCTGGGAAGATGGCTTGCAGTGATGACACTACTGAGGCTTTGTGGATTTTGACTGTAGACAAGCCTCAACAGAATAACCAGATCAAAACTGCCAACACCATAAGTTTCACTAAAAATTAATTAGTAGGAAAGAAGAAAAGGAGGAAGGGCAGGCCCTGCTTTGAAGACTGAGTTGCAAATGGTAAAACCATGATAACCCTGAAGGGTGTTTGGACTAGGACAACATAGGTTTTTGGTATTCAGTGAAAAATATGGTAAGAGGCAGATGTTGCGGAGTTGAAGCTATCTCTTCAAGGTGCACAGGGCTGGGACTCTCGTTGGCTCCCTGACACTAGGAGCTCAGTCCTCGTCAATCTGCTGCTAGTGGTTTTCAAAAGAAGTGGCTGACCTTGCTGCTGACCTTTCTGGATGCCTGTTCTTTAGACACCTTCTGATGTTCCTTGAGAAAGGAATTATAGTCCCTCCAAAGAACAAGCCTCTTCTAAGGCATCTCAAGTCCAGAAGAGGTTACCCTAAATCACCATATGCACTGGGAGTAGGTCCTCATCTGCACCTGCAGGAGTGGACAGGACTCAAGTAGTTTGAGACAGGGCCTCGGAACCATAGACAAAAAGCTTCTGTAAGAAGCTGTGTTTTCCTTTCTTGAGAGGTAAAGCCCTTGTCTTCTGCCAGCTTTCCATGGGCACAGTTGGTACCTATCTTGAACGAGAGAAATCTACTGCATGACCCTGGAGAGGCTGGTAAGTGCTCTGAAGGAGGATCTAGATAGATGGGTGTGCACACTGCAGTTATTGCTTCCTTATGCTTTCTGTAGAGCTTCCTTTCTTCACTTCTGAGTAAACCAAAATTTCTTGTTTGGATGTAGTTTTTCCTTGTTGCCATTTTCCATTGTTTCTTGCTTGCCTCAGGCTTAGCTTGCTTCTGAGAAGTTATAGTACAAAAGGTCTTTCTTGTTTGGAAGGAAACATGTTTTGTTTTAAACTTCTGGCTGAAATAGCTGTTTGATAGTTTTAACACTTCTGTGTTCTGAAAGGCAGCCTGGAAATTCAGTTGGAAGATCAACCTGGAGCAAAGGGTGTGCTTTTTTTTGCCTTTGAAAATTAGCCATATAATTCTGAGCTATAGGTCTGAAAATACTTATTCACATCCTTGTTGTGGGAGGGGAGAGGGTAGAAGCTGGCAGAAACAGCCTTTAGAAATTATGTTTTTCCCTAAGAAGGGGACGAGACAGTTGTGTGGAATAATGGGAACTGAGGTGAGCAGATGGAGAAGCAAGGATGAGGGATGTGGGGAAGAGTGTGAATGAAGTTTGTATGGTAACATAAACACAAGAGAACCAGTTAGAGGGACTGCTGTCTAAAATTTGCCACAATATACAGAAAATGTCAGCCTTTGCATTTCTGTATGGCCAGCTGAAAGCTGTGTAACTTGCTGCAAAGGTTGTTCCCTGCCCTGGTCCACAGAGTTGACAGCTTTCTACTTGTATTAGCTGTGCCAGGATCTCACATGGTTAAGACCTGCCTGATGTGCATGTTTTTAACAAATACTAATATCAGTGTGAATGTAAATGCATGGCTGAAGACACCAGAAAAACAGCAGATGAAGGGTTAAGGGAGTGGCATGTATTAATTGCTTCAGAGCCACCCATGTGTTTTATGCAAATAACCAGAGGACAAAAAAAACAGGCAGCCTTAGATAAGGTGACTAGATGACCAAAGGTACTGAAGCTGTGAAATACCCAGATAGACTCAATTTGCCTGAAACTATTGAGGGGTGAGGCACAAGGTCGTAGTACCCACTGCTAAAGGGTATGAAAGATACATCCAGAAACAGAGGAGCCTAGGAGATGCAGTGAGGCTGCGATGGTGTTATCCCATGTGCTTCCTGCTGCACACAGGTGATCCTGGCCAGACTGATGGATACAGCTCTGTGCATGTGAGTATGGGGGACTGGTGTGGGATTGGGTAAAATCAACTTATTTGATTCTTGTTAATAAAAACTGCCTTTCCCTGTCTGTAAGGTCTTGCAGTGAGTTTTGTTCCACAGGGATGGAACTAAATGTTCCAGTTCTGCTAATGATTCATGTAGGAGGTGATATATATCCATGTGATGGCATTTTATATATACTCCAGTTGCTGTTAAGAAAATACCTAGATCATTAGATTGCTATGTTAAAGGGGTATTCACTGTAAAGTCAGGCACTCAAATGCTGCAAATCAAAGTTGTCTGTTTAAGCTTCATGCTGCCCACTTGTAGGGAAGCTACTGCAATCAAAATGCTTGCTGTGTTTCTCATTTTCTAAATGCTCAGCTCCAGCTGCATGTTGCCCATTTGTGAGATGCTGTCAATTATTGGTGACACCACTGCATTTAAGCATATAAAGTGCCACAAAAATGCCATAAAGAAAATCAGGCCACCCGAGTTTCAAAGCAGGCTTTCTGCATGAGAGGTTCTTGCTGACCTGGATGCTGCGGCTATAAAATGAAGGCAGCTCTCTGCTCTCACAGAAGTCAAGATTGTGCTCTGACTGCAGTCCAGGTGCCTTTTCTCCCTTCCTATCCATTTCTGTTCCTGACTGTGCTGAGTGGTCCTATGGGCTCTGCAAAATGGCTGTCTACATCCACTGAGGGTTTATAGACTGCTGTGCTACTGTCAGTGCAAGGGGCTTGTTTTCTGGATGCTTTTTGCTCTTTCTCATGGAGTTGTGGGGAGAAAAATTGTAAATACTTGTGTTGCATTCAGGGGTGATAGTGGTGAGGGTGGAGAAAAGCTACCTAGGAGGCCAATATTTCTGTATTCCTGAAATCAGTAAGGATACAGAAGTGATGCTGGCCAAACAAAGTACTGAATGGATCATTTTGGTCGTGTGTTACGCCTTCAGTGACAGAGGAGGACATGGGGGAGCCCTGTGAGCAGCAGTGGTGCCATGTGACTGAATAAAATTTGACAAAACAAAGGTATCTGGCCATGTAAATGTGTCCTTGTTCATTCCTGCTTAACTTTGCTGTTTTCATCATCTCTTCAGTCATCCTATTTGAAGGGGTGGGTTGCACTGGTGAGTTTCTAGTTTCTTGCACCAGTACTCCTCCTGCCAGCTCCAGAAAGTGCTGCCTGTTCCTGGTCTGATGCTGCCTGACAGACACTACTGCAGACTCTTGGGCTGCCCTTGAAGGTAAACTTACCAATGCTTAACCAGTAAGTGAGAGCATCTGGGGAGAATGTTTTCTGTTGTTTGTCTCATGAAACTTAGCTTAGAAGTCTATTGTCTTTTTTCCCCTCTTTCTCTTACAAGAGTGGAGCAAAGTTTATTTTTTTGAGTTATTTAAATGCTTACAGCAATGTCCTTAGAGTTCAGTGAAAAGGTTTGGGGATCAGTCAACGAATGTTAGCATGGTAGCTGCCTTAGTCTGGTTGAAAATAAGTGGGTAGTGGATTTCTATGACTATTCTTGCTCCCTTAAACCCAGGGAGATTTCTCTGCTGCAAAAGGGTGGATCTGTTCCCCAACAACAAAAAGCAGATTTTCCTTAAAATACCCAAAGGGTATTGCTAACATAGATCCTCTTCACTGTGTGCCTGTCAAATCCCAGCCCCTCTAGCAGCGTGGAAAATCTAATCCCTGGCATTGAAGGCATCCAGATTAACCCACTGCAGGATTAGGATGTTTGATCTGTTAGATTAGTGTAGTTGGTTGTCAACATTTGCTGAACTTGGCCTGAAAATGATTTGCAGTGAGGTTGCTGACGCTTGGGTGCCAGCTTGGCTGGCACATTAGGCAAGGCTGGAGTCAAAGGCTGTAAAGATTAAACTGGGGCTCTGAGTGTGCAGAATGCATTCTGGATTTAAACCCATCATTACTGATGGGGACAAAAGGCTTTGGCAGCCTGGTGTGGAGTTGCTGAGCTCCTGCCTTGCTAGGGAGGTGTTCAGGATAGCTGTGATGGCTGCGTTCCAGTTCAGTGTGTGTCAGGGCAAGGAGGATTTCTGATTTGACTCGGGGATTCCTGCTGGTGGCTGCATCTGGGACAAGGAGTTGTACCAGTTGTCTCACATCTGCATTTGGGACTTAGAGCTTCAGGTCAGCTCTTCCCTGCCTGTGCACATCCTTTGATGCTGCAAGCTTCTTTTCATAGGCTATTTTACTGAGTTGCCTGGCTGGAAGTGAATATAACTATTACCCTGGCGCTAGTTTTGTTCAATTATTTCTGCTAGTCTCCAGGTAAGAGATAAACACCACTGTCCTAGATGAAATTAGAGTCTGTCTTGGTGTGGAAAAGTGGATTCTCTGGTGCTTTGCTTTCTGGTAATGATGGTGTGTGCCATTAAGTGGGTGAGCTGCCCACAGATGAACTTGTCTCAGTTCCTTCACAGTGCAAAATGAGCTTGAGGGCAGGGTCTCCACAGTGGTATCTTTTAGGCAAAAAGCAATTGACTTCCACTTTATGTGCTGGGACTCAAGACATTATGAGCACAGTCAGTTTATTTCAGCTACTAGCAGGGGGATTCATGTTTAAAAAAATCTCCCTCCTGTCAGCAGGGTGTTAATTCCAGTGTAATTCCAGTCTGCTCATGCTAACTCAGCACCTTGTAAATGCTTACAGTGCTTTTAGTACACAGGGGAGTGACAGCAGAGCTGTGGTTCCATTGCAACCAGTCCTGCTACTGTGTGTGAATGGGTGTCTGAAGTGCACTGACGCTGGTGGAACACACCATTGTGCTGCAGGGAGTGTGTATGGGGATGGATGGGCATGGTAGATCTCTTCTTGAAAAGCATCTTTTTTCCTATTTTTTCCTCTGGGAAATTACAAATGAGGGCTCTAAAGATAAACTCTTCAATGATTTTTTTTCTTGGTAATGCAGCAAGAGCATGTATATTCCTCTGCTTATCAGTGGAAAACTGCCATGATGGTAAAATAACTGTTTGCTGGAAACTTTTTCTTCCATCATGACCCAGGTGAATGCAAACTTGCATTTGATTCAAAGCAGCTTGTCTTGAAAATACTAAACACTGGCTGTGTTGTGGAATTGGTTCCAGTGATTTCATTCAGTGTTGTCGCTGAATATTTCTATTTCAAGGCACATCATTTAGTGAATGTGAATTGTATCATGCTTCCCGTTGTGCATACAAACATCAACAGCCATTTCTTGACTGAAATGTATATAAGTGCAACAATACAATTTTTCTTTCTCAACAGGCCAGCAAAGAGATTCAGCTGGAACCCATATGAAAGACATAAGTCTCTAAAAGTTCTTTCAGTGAAGATCCACTAGAAAGGTAGGGCCTTTCCATAAATGCTTGCTTTGAGTTTGACACTGGTATCTTAGAGCTATAGCTGTCCTGAGCATTCCCACTTCTGGCAGTGCTGTGCAGCCTAGTGAAGCCCATGCTGTTCATTTTTTAACACACTTACAAGCACTAAGTATGTTCCTCTGTGCTTTGTGAACATACTTTAGGGGATTTCTATAGAGCTGCATGATAAAATTTTAAATATTTTATCCAAGGCCTGTGTTGCAACTTATTCTGAAAAAATAATTTCTGAAACCCAGAACATGGGCCTGAAGCTTCAGCCTGGCTTACTGCAGCAAGCAGACAAGGCCACTGCTATGCTGGCATCGCTTCCAGTCGTCTCACTGCAACAGCATAGGTGCATTACGAAATAACCAGCAAGAACATGGGACGGCAAAGTGTGTTTCTCCTACTTGGCCAGTGCTTCTTGTATGGAGAATTGCCCTGAATTTAGATCAGCATGGACCTAGCTGATCAGCTCTCCCTGACAGATGTGTGTAAGATAAAGTTGTCTGTATTAAGTGAAGAATTTCAGACTACCCATTTGTTGGATGAAACTGTAATGTCTGTGTTGAGGTTGTTTAGACTATTTGAGTAAAAACGTATATGCATATATATGCTATATATAGTGGGCCATAAATAACACAGTCCAGTGTGGAAAAAGTGCGTTATAGATTTTAATATACTAGGAAGAGAGGGCTGTGATATGTGTAATGGTTCTTGCTTGTATTTCGGTCCATACTCACTGTAATAGCACTTACAAAACTGTATGTGAAGGTAGCTTCTAGGACATATTGTACTTAAGCCACTGGTTTCCTCCTCAGAATACTTTCAAAGGGTGGGCCTCAGATCTACACGGATAGGGTAGGCAATGGCAGTGCTGGCTGGGTGCCTTGCCCTTTGCTGTAGCTAGCAAATCTATGTTCGTGTAGGCTTTGTACCCCTATCCTGAAAGTCAGGGAAGCCCCAGCAGTGTTCGTTCCCAGCCCCGTGATGTTGCTTCGAATGGGTGAGGATAGGTGCTAGCTTATTCATTGCCTTTACTTGACATGGGGGAGTCCCCAGCAAGACTGTCTGCCTGGTATAGGCACTGTAGTTGCACAAGGTAAATAACATTTTGATGCTGAAGCATATCTTTAATTGGCTATAATAGCTTCAATTTTAGGGGAAACATGTAGAAAATATAAAATCAAAGGTGTGGATGTGGTGAGACTGCAGTCCTGTAGCAGGCAGAGGTGCAGGTGGAGACTGATCACCTAGTGTGCCTTGCTCTGCTTCTGTGGGACTGGCTTGCAGGGCAGGAGCCTTTTCTGTATCTGGGAACAAAAATTTACTTGTGCAATATGCTTGAAACCAATCTCTAAAAAAAAATCCTGGAAAAATCCATTAATCCATTTTGCACTTAAAGTTTGGGGTTATCTTCTCAGCTGTCCTTTTGGTTCAGATATAAGGAATCATCCCTGGAGGAGAGTCCTTCAGATCTAGAAATTACTTAAAGCCCAGCTTTGAGGCCAGGTTAGAGGATTTTTCAACAGTTTGTGTTAAACTGCAAGGAATAGATATGAAGTATAAAATGCAGGTTTACTATACATCATTGCTGTGTGTAAGAGAAGCTACTCTTATCTATACGATGTTTAACACTATAGAACGTCCCTTGAATGCCAGGTCTGAAGGAGCTCAGCTTTCAGCTGCCTCTGGGGCTATAGGAAGATGTGTAGCTCCTCACAGGATCCAGACCTTGCTATGTGTTAATCTCCATCTTCCCCAAACACCAAATTCAGGCGCTTTTTTTTTTTTTTTTTTTTTTTTTTTTTTCCCATACAGGAGGGCTGCCCTAGCTAGGATTTTGAGAACAATAATTCGCACTGGGGTGCTCCGTTTCCCTCCTTGTGGCAGACAAGAAAGGATGAAGCAGGCGAGAGCCCATGAGGATGCACTCATTAGCTGTCGTCTGCCAGCAAGTTGGGAGTGTGTGTTGCTGAGGCTGTTATAAAAGGCAGTCGTTAAGTAATCGCATTTCTCTTGCATAAGTACTTGTTTTTAGGAGACTTTAGCCAACTGGAGGCTGCAGCTCACAGACAGAAAGCACGTTGTACTACCCTGATTTTTAAATGCATGATTATTAATCCGCTGGAAGTTGTATAAAAATCTCTTTAGGTAAGGTTAAGTGGCAGAGACTCTTCGGTGCTGATGGTAGCTGTAAGACACTGCTAACAACCTGTGGAGCCTTGTAAGTAATATTTCTGATTCTCCTAAAGTGTGCTTGTGACTGAACTGCAGGCAGGGAAAAATATTGGGGATGTTTATTGCTGGCAATAAACTAGAGGGAGTAAGGAGGTGAGAGACAGTAGTGAAACTAGTGACTAGTTTTAAAATAAGGCTTCCTGCCTAGAATTCTGTGAGGACGTATGGGTTTCTCTGAAGCTGTGTGATCAAATATATTCTAAATATGCAAATCAAGTGTGGTGAAGTCAATTACAGGACTGTCCAGAGAACAAAGATTTGGCCTGAGGGTGAGATCAAAGGACTATCTAGTCCCATGTGCTGGCTTGGAGTGGCCAGAAATCAGTGTTACAGAAAATAAGAATAGAAGTATACAGTGATATTTCCTGTCCTACATTTATCCTAGCTTGCAGAAATCTGCAGGTCAGTTGTTTTTTTTTTTCCTGAGTCAGAAATGTTATCTTTAATAGTATAAGTGTTTTTTTCTTTTTAGAATTTACTAATTCCATATATCTGAAGACAATATGTTTTAGGATTTGACTGCCATAAATCTAATTGGGATTTGATATCTTGTTACATGAGTTCTTCCACATAGGGCCTTAATTTAAAAAAAAAAAAAAAAGGGGGTTTTCTGTTTAGATGAAACTGAAAGGGGAAAGCTTGTATAGATTTACAGAAAAGAGAATTGCACTTCCTATTTCCTTGTCATGTGTCTGGATGCAGCTCAGTCCACAAACAAAGCCTGCAACTATAAAATCATCCACTGAAGTGGGAACTGGAATTTATTGTTCCAAGCTGAGCGGCTTGGAACAACTAGGTTGTTATTCCTGCCAACCCTGAAAGGCATTGAAGTGCCATTGTGTAGAGAAGGCAGCTCAAGTACTGAGCTGTGAGGGGAAATAAAGCTGCCCATAGTGTGGATGCATGTATGCTTGCTCTTACAGGTGGCACAACGCTTTTTTTATGATAGAATAAATGCTGGACTAATTGATATCACTTGAGAGAGCTCAAGCCACTACTTGTAAACCTTGGAAAAATGTAGTATGGAGATTTTACAATCTGTAAAGTTTGAGGCCTGCTAAAGCATTTAAATCTTATTTGCAGCCAGTAGATTAGGAGGTAATACCACCAAGAGAAGCTATTTTGTAGGAGTTACAGGATTAGAGAGGTAAATGTGAAAATCTATCTTGAACTAAAAGGTGCTTGGCTGCAAAGCCAAGACTTTAACATTTTATTATTTCTTTCCTAAAGTAGGCAAAACTAATAGGCCTGTCTGCTTCAGTAAGACTGTAATAGTGATGTAAGGCAAGCTGGAATCACTCTTACACTTGCTTGCTAATTATTTAGACATTAAAAAACTTTGCGATACACTTGAGATATGTGTCTTGCACTATGCCAGTAAGGGAGAGGAGGTGGTGGAGCAGACTGCTTGCTGGGCCCTCCATGGTTTTCTGCTTCAGCTCTGCAACCTAGCAAGGTCTCTGCTACTGTGGGTCAGGGTTGTCCAGAACCCAGGCAGTCTTCCTGGGTGTCTGTAGTGTTTGTTCTTCATCCAGAACTTGTATGGGGGTCTTTAGCCATTACAGTGCTGGTGGCTGGCCAAGGTTGGTAAACTTCTGAGACAGGTTTTTCTCCAAGATCATTAGATTACTTAATGGATTTGGAGAGTTTACAGTCTTAAATCCATGAGAAATTATTGAAGACACAACTACTAGATATCCTTGAGCTGTTGGAAGGGTATTCTGGGGACGTATCAGTTGCTTGCCCTGATTTTGGGCTATTTTCTGGGCTGCTGAAACTGCTGTCAAGAGAATGCTAGTTCAAAGATGCTCCCAGCCTACGTAAGGCCTTTTCCATTCTTATGAAAACAGCACAAATAAGTCAGTGGTTAACTGTGGAATTTGCAATGTTATTTCTAAAACAGTCTCTAGGACATGGAACAAACAGTCATATGCTAGGACAGCCGAACAATATTGCTAATTTGTTACAGGGTAAAATGGATGCTATGCACAAGCTGAAGATTTTGGTGATGTTTCTGTCTCTGGCTACTTTCATGGTCATGGTGATACTGAATGCTGGAAATGCCACTGGGATTTTCAAAGGTAATGCAAGCAAATTGTTCAGAGGTGGATTTCATGCATTCTATCATTTAATTATACAAGGTGCCTCAGATGGGATAGATCTGCTTGTTACCTCATTCTCTAAATATACCTTGATCTGTGAAAGACAGAAGTAGCTGGTGCATCTTCCAGGTGTTACAGCCAGGTGCCTGAGCTTTCTCCAGTCCTTTAAAATCCAAGTAAATGGTCTTGTCCCTGGTGAACCTGGGCAGGTAAAAGGCAGTCTTTGCATATGCTGCCCTTGTATCCCTGGTGGAAACTGTTCAGGCTGCTTCTGTGGGTCTATACAGGGCGGTGGTGCTTGAGTTTGAACATTACCCAGCTGAGTCTGACAGAAATGGGCACTGTGCCTCTCTGGCTTTCACATGCAACTGGATTTTCTGGCTCTGTATAAGAGGGAAGGTGCTCAAGGGTTCCCACAGGGACAGTGATCCCATAATGGGTGTCTAAAGGCAACCCAACTGCAGCACATGGCTTGTTTTCATCAAGGGCATCCTCTTATCTGCAGGTCCACTGAGGTGTGGACTAAGCCTTGAGGAAGATTGCAGGGTGAGGGAAATCAGCAGTCTTTCCCCACCCTTAGTATGTAGTAACACTTGCCTGCAATAACATTTCCCACCACAGGTCTGTTCAGAACAACCCCTGGAAACATCTCAGCGAAGTACAACACTGACTTCACACCAGCTGGCTGGACTTTCCTCATCTGGAATGTCATCTATGCTTGGCATCTTGTCTGGCTTCTCTACGCCTTGTCAGGGATCTGTCGAAGGTATATTTTCCCTGCTTACAGTATAAATGAGGGACAGTGGCTCTTCCCTTCTGTAGCTCAGTCTTACCCACTTTTCTGGGGTTTCCGGTCAGAGTAAGTCCACTGCCATTCCTCTTGACTTGACATGCTGAAGCTCTGCTGCTGGAACATCTTAAGTTAGCATCCAAAGCTGGGAAGCAGTTCCAGAAGAGGAACTGCTCTAACATGTGGACAGGTCACAAAGCACAAACTGTTCTGTGAGGCCTGGTTTCCACTGATTCGTGTGATTTACCCAGTAGCTGCACTTATCCACTAGTAGAATCCCCCTGATGTGGGAAAAAAATTATGGAGCTAATGATTTTAACAGTTCACTGTTATGGATCAGAGAATCAGCATTGGGAAGCCCCTTGGGTTGTTGAACTGGACTTGAAACTCTTCCTGGGGCTGTGAGATCAATAACTGCTTCATGCAGTACTGTGTAATAATCTGTGATGTCTTCTGTGGGATAGACTTACACTGAAGCACTTAGTTTGTCTTGTGTATCTGCTATTTTTCCCATGACTTGTAAGAAGTTGCTCAGTTGATACTGACCAATGCTGAAGGTTGAGGGAAGCATGAAGTATGTGTTTGTATGAGTGATCAAGCCTATACACATGGATGTGTATATATATGCACTCAAACTATGATCCCATAAGCTTTTTTCCTTGGGAACCAAGCTAAAATCCCATGACCATACCATTGCTACCACCACCAGTGGCACAAGCTTTGCAACATCTGTGGAGCAGTCCTTAGTACCTGCTAAATCTGAGATGGTACGGTAGTGGTGCAGAGACAAGCAATAATTTCTTGTACCATGGAACAATGTCTTGATAGAGAGAGCCACAAGGACTGTATTGTGTCAGAGAAGGATGCAGAGAGTCTGATTCAAGCTTGAAATATTTAACTCCACTGTAGAGCCCCTTCCTTGTTAGTATGAGGAAAATGAGGCCAGGAAAGCTTGGTTGGTCAATGCAGACATTGTTTTCCTTTTTCCATATCCACTTTTCCTGGCAGGAATGAACTTGGATGTGTCTACATAAAGCCAGACTTGCTGCCAATACCTTTTTATGTGGTGTGGATTCTGAATAACAGCCTCAATGTTGGATGGCTGTTTCTGTGGGACCGAGAGTAAGTTGCCTTTTGTTACAAATGCCTTCTAACCCTCTTGTTGGGACTGCCCAATACTTCATTTTGCCTTTTCCAACTATGTATGAAGACTTAATCACAGCTGTAAAATGTTGTGGCAGGCCTTGGCAAAAGGTAGCCTTCACTAAAAGTTGAGGGCTCTTACAATATGTTTTCATCTTGCTTGTGAGGTGCATTGGTTATTGAAGTCTAAGATCTCCTCAAAGCTGCTGTTCTTCCATGTGTTTTCTTTCACAGGTAAGAGGAGCCATGCTTCTCTTCATAAATACGATTAAGCTCCGTGCCTTGGATTGTTTTCATAATCATGGTCACATGAAGGGCTTATAATAGCACCACTGCCAAGAGGTGAAGAAATCAGTTGCAGTCAGGAAAACAACTGCATGCTTAACAGAGTAAAGCAGCAGTATGTCAAAATGAGGGCTACATGTAGTGATTACCTTTATTAAAGGCTGGTTAACTTAAAGTCAGTAAAGGATGACTGTGAATTAGAGCATTGTGACACCACTGGAAAAATGTATTGTCTATTGTGTGTGTGCATTTTCTTTGTCCTAGATACCTCCTCCCAGCCCTGGTGTTCCTGGCAGCCCTCACTTTTACCACATGTGCCTGCCTCTTCATTTCGCACCAAGCCTTGAGCATGCATTCCTCTTGGCTTGTGAAGGGTCACAAAGCTGAGCTCTGGCTCATCCGCATCCTGGTAAGTGGCATTTGGGAAGCTGTGCTGTTGGTAAATGCTTAAAAACATCTGTGCAGTGCTGAATGTATCAAGAATGAAAGGTTCAGTTGTAGGAGATATAGATAAGGGAAGATTTATTTTTTTCCTAACTTGTGCCTGCTGCAGGTGCACACAGGCTTAATTGCATCTGTTTCCAATCAGACATCATGGGAATGATTCAGAGCAAGGTATATCCCTTGTACTTCTTCAGCTGCTACAGACTGAAATTTTCAGTGAAGTATGAAAACTTCAGCCCAGACTTATGTTTTGGAGTGGGAAGAATGTTTCTTGCAGAGGGAGAAGCCATTGCTAAGGGTGGCCTCTGTTTCTATAGCTGATGATGTCCCTGGTATCTGACTACAAAATTACATATTTCTTATATGGGGAAGTGTACACTGCTCAAAGCTTCAAATGCAGCAGTTTTTGCCAAATTCTGGAAGAAAACTATTTTTCTGCTGTGCCTGAGAAGAGTAGGCGTTTAGCTAACTGCACAGAGAAAATAAGATAAACATACTCCATCACTCCTTGGTCTTCCTCCCTGTGCCTCTCCCTGCAGCGGACGGAGGAAGCAAGCAGCTGATTCAATCTGAATGATAGAGCAAGCTTCAACTTTATTGAAAGAAATCACACCTTATATAAGCACTCTACAATAATCATGCATACCACTCACAAATCTATTGGATACATGTAAAAGGCTACATTATAATATCCCAGCCCTTTGTGGCATCTCAGGCATGTCACAACACCTTCCCTCCTCTGGCCTGCTTTCTTTCCCAAGGCCGTTCCTTTATCATACACAAGGCCATTGTGTACCTCAGTTTCTCTCTTTGTTAACATAACAGTCCTTTGTTAGCATAACTGTACCCTGGGTTTTTTCCTTTGTTTACCTCAGATGGCTGCAATCAGCTTGTGCAGAGACCCATGGCCTTGCTCTCTGCAAGCCATTCTCCAACATCTCTCCTAGCTCAGACTCCACACCCAGGACACACTGCAGTTCCTCCCATGGCAGCTGTGTGTGCTTTAACCACCTTTGGTTCCTTTGCTTGATGTTGATGTTGCTGTTAGAAAGTGAGTCAGCTGAAAAAGCCCATCCAAGGATCTAGAGGGTTTTCTGTAGAGGGGGAATGTGCAAAGCTGAGAGGCTCTGCACAGAAAAGTTCCTACTGACCCTGATGGCAATGTGTCTACATCTCTTGGCATAAACTGGGAGCAGGATGGTGTTCTTTACACCCTTGTATTGCATTTCCTGAGGCACCAGTATAACACAGGGAAAGGGGAAGAGCTGAGTTCCCCATCCTCACTTAAGAGTTATTCCAGCCCTTGATATTGCCTGCTGCAGGCTCCATGTAGCAAAGATGTTTGCTGGAACGTGGTTGAGATTCAAAAAAAACTTGTTCTCTCTGCCTGTTACAGCAGCCTGGAACAACTGTGATGGGCAGCCAGGCAGGCTGTGCTTTGGGGTGTGGGTGGGGAGTCCCCGCTGGTGTTGCTAGCACAGGGAATTCTGCAGCTGCCACTGAGATGGATCTCTGGGGTGCTTTGGGGACTCCAAGGCTTCAACTCCTTCTCCACATTGAGAGACATTCCCTGTAGTGAGGTCTAGAAGGCTGGTTTGACTGCCCCAGGACCTATGGCTCACAAAAGACAAGCAGAAGTTACCTTTTTTTAATCACTGCTTGTCATCTTGTGTGTTGTGGCAGGTCCAGAATGGGCTGGCACTGTATGCAACATGGACCAGCATTGCCACTCTGCTGAACTTTGCAGTTGTGTTGATCTACAAGTGGAATGCCTCCAATGAGACAGCAACAACAGCTTCCCTAAGCATCCTTGCTCTTGTCCTGGTAATATGGTAAGCAACCTCATGGATTCCCACCAAGCCTGAAGGACCCTTTCCACATCTCACAAATAGGTTGGATTGTCTGTCCCTGTACCAACACTGAGTTCAAAGGGCTCTGGCACAACGCATAACAGATGAACAGGGAGCCTGGGCAGAGCTTTTCTTCCCCAACCCTCAGCAATGCAGATAAGCATATGCTGTGAGCCTGGAACAGGTTGCATGAGCCCAACCTGCCCTAGGTTTGCAGGTAAAGGCTTGATATGGAAAGCATATGAAATGTGGCTTTATTTCCCTAAACTTACCTTTGATAAATTTTCTATTGGTCTTAGGAGTTTTAGTAAATGAACAGTTTTGGACTGTAGCTCAAACTTGCATGAAAAACAGTTTGTCCATTTCCATTCTTAAATCTTTCTATGGAAAAAAATACAGAGAAAAGGCTTACTTTGGTCACTTTTTTTCTTCACAGGTTTTATCTAGAAAATTTCTTTCTTGACAAGCATGTCCGCTATAACCTTACAATCTACCCAGTGGTCATAATAGCTCTGACTGGTAGCACATGCAAGAACTTCTCATTTTCATCCCCAACAACGAATAGCATTTTTATAGGTGAGTCTTCTGGAATGCTTCCGACTTTTATAAAAGAAGGCCAGTTAACACTTCCACATCTTTCCTGTGTATTAGAGGCAGGAAGACAGACTTGTCTCTTGAAAAGTAACCTTTATAAAAAGCAGAACTGGGATTTATTTGAAGGTATTAATTTTGCAAAGTAAAAAGAAGAGCAAAAGTCATTGCTATGAGCCTTTGGACTGGATTCAAACCTTGTATTGTCTGAAGTACACTTCCTGGTACAATGTTTGCCTTGCCACTCTCCATTCAGTTGAGTCCTCTGCTGGTAGCTCCATCTGTAGTGTAGGCCAAAGGAAGAGCAGGTCTGGCATGAAGGCTGTGGACTTCCATTTGCCCTATATCATTTGGGATTTAGGAGCAGTGCATAAAACCCCACCTGCAAGTGCTGTGTTCAGCTCTCAGGATCCCAACATAAGGAGGACATGGACTTGCTTGAGCAGGTCCAGAGGAGGCCACAAAGATGATTGGGGGGCTGGAGCACCTACCCTGTGAGGACAGGCTGAGAGAGTTGGGGCTTTTCAGACTGGAGAAAAAGTTCTGAGGTGACCTTGTAGTGGCCTTTCAGAACTTAAAGGGGACCTATAGGGCAGATGGGGAGGGACTCTTTATTTTGGAGTGTAGCGATAGAATGAGGGGTCACAGTTTTAAACTGAAAGAGGGTAGATTTAGATCAGATATGAGTAGGAAATTCTTTACTGTGAGGGGGGTGAGGCACTGGCACAGGTTGTGCAGAGAAGCTGTGGCTGCCCCCTCCCTGACAGTGTTCAAGGCCAGGTTGGACGGGGCTTTGAGCAACCTGGGCTAGTGGGAGGTGTCCCTACCCATGGCGGGGGGTTGGAACTTGACTGTCTTTAAGGTCTCTTCCACCCCAAACCATCCCATGAATCTACAACTCTGTTTCTGACCCAAGGAGGGGGCCTGTATCTAAACTTTCCAATGCAAAACTCTCTGCGTGCTCCTCTCCTACACAAAGCTCAGGCTAGCCTTAACAAGTTTTTCCTGGGATTATTTGGTTGCTGCAGGCCACTGTAGCCAAGTAGTCATCCATTGTAAAAGGGCTTAAGCTGTCTGAATACTGTACAATCAGTCTGACAAAAGCTATGCCATTATGAGTAGCTTTATTCTGGCATGAAAGGGACTGAGCTATGTGAACTCTGAATCCTGCTGTAGCAGTTTGAGATGCTTATTCCCACCATAGGGTCAGCAGAAAGGAGCATGTTCTTAGCCTTTAGCCTTCCCACTGCCACATACCAGCGGCTACAGCTAATTTCTAGACTGACACCACCATTGCAGCCATTCCAGTATGTGTTCCCTTTTGCTGTAAGGGCAGCTAGAGCATCATAAAACCTGAAAACACCCAGCAGGGCTTAGCAGAGCTTGTCTGCCAAAAGTATGAGGGCACTGGAGACTCACCTCCTGATAGTTATGGCCACCAGGAATGTGAAGGTATGTGTGATCTCTGGCAGACAGCTGTGTTCCTGCAGTAGGTGCATTTCTACCAGCAACACTTCTTTCTTAGTGGTTCAGCTTGTTTGGTGGGTAGGACAAGAATGTGCTTTTCCCAGACTAGTGCATGTTTCTTTATATAGTTCAACTATTCTTAGAGTGTTTTGTTAATGTAATACCCTTTTATTCCTGTGTCCATAAAGCCTTGACTTTTAAAAATGCCTGACCTGGAAGCACTGGGCAAGTTTAACTCTGAACTCTGAAATATAACTGATGGGAGGGGTGGGTAATGGCTCCTTTTTGGGGGGGCTATCTTTCTCTTTCCCTGAATGCCCTCTTATGTTGGGAGCTGGGGTATGGCAAGAGGCATTGACTTTCTCTCATGCACTAACGTGCTCCTGTGTTTCTTTTCTAGTTGTTCTGCTGGCAATTACTTGCTTGATCTTTGCTGTTCGGCTGGGACTAATCATATGGAGACACTGTAAGAGACCACTGGAAGTGTCAGAAACCCTAGACCCATCAGGCACTGTGGCCTGAGACATCTGGCATGTTGTGGCAGATACTTTTAAAGGGAGAAAAAAGAATTTTGGCATCTACTGATCTGTCCTTCCATTATCAGTTGCCTTGTGCTCTTCTGTTTCTTTCCATTTGAAATGTGGATGGCTTGTGTTTGAAAACCTGTCCTGCACCCATATTCCTTCAGATAAGCTACTCACAGCCCCACCTTGAATCTGCATCCTCCTTCATTTGCTCAGTGCAGGAAAAGGTCTTTCAGCTGAACAACTCTCTGCACCTTTGTGACAACTGAGCTGTGGTGCTCTGGCCCTGCCACTGCAATGAGGGCTAACAGGCACTTGGCATGCTTGCACAGACATTCCTATGTATGATTTAGACTGCACTTTAAGTTTAAGTGAGCTGTACCTGGGAGTCAAGGTGAGCAGTGGGAGGTCTAGCATTCCTTTGGCCATGCAGGGTATCTGCAGGCAGCGATGGCTCCTGTTCCTGCTTCTCTTCACCCTGATGGGGACAGATACTACAACTCTAGAGATCTACCTTTGTTGGTGTCAGTTCTGATGTTTGTCCAAGGTGAGGAGGAGGAGTGACTGAATACTTCTGGCACAATTACAAGCCTTCAACCTATTTCAGCTTGTAGCTCTGGAAACTGAAGACACATTCACTTTTCAGCATACAGTAAGGTAGTTGGGTGTCTGCCCTCTTTTTTTCCTGACTTTCTCAGCTAAGTTAGTCACTGTCAGCACCCCTGTGGACCCATAATAACAGCAGATGTATGTAGTTCCTGCTCTGCCTGTAAGACAGAGGAGACTTGGGTCAGGCAGGAGCAGTGGGTTGCCTTTCCCTGAGCTGTGGGGAGTGAGAAGCTTGCAGTTTGTGCTGGAGGGTGGTTTGTAGCCACTCTGGCAGGAGGTAAGATGTACAGATGAGGTGATACCTGATCTGGGGTAAAGCCTGCTGTTTAAGGAGGGAAAAAAAAATTATTTGAACCAGTAGTGTGAGTTCATCCTGGATCAGTGTTTTCTCATGTGGCTTCACCACTTCTGAGTTGGTATTAGGAAGCCTAAAAGTGGATTAACTGAACTGTTGGACCACTGCCTATTTCCTGTGCCTATTTGATAATTGGTGATGCACCACTGGTGCCTGGAAAGTGTTTCTATATAACAGGTGCTTTCAGAAGCTGAATATCTTGCAATATTATTACAAAGGTAGATTCTTCTAAAAGAACCTTTTGTTTACAATTTAACAAATAACAAACATAATTCTTTATATTTACAAAGAACAAAATTGGTGTAATGCAATTCCTGTTGTAATTCTCTTGTGTTGTCTTATTTTCAAATAAATCAGCTCATTCCATCACTCTTCTGCTAACTCTGTAAATCACCTAAAGCAGCTGTCCTGGCTCTGACCTCACTTGCGTCCTGTGTCTTCCTGTGACCCTGGTTCCTTGCTTGAGCTGGCTTCATTACTGCAATGCTCCTGGATGTAGCTGCTTCCACTGATTGTGCCTTCATCAACTGTAGAGGCAAAGACTTGGGTGATGCAGATTACGATGTATGATTTAAACTCCTCTGCCTAGCACCTTGATCATTAAACTTCTATTCCATAAACTCTGCCTTGCAAAAGCCCAGCTGGTAAATTCCCAGCAGCCTCTCCCTAAGTTGCTGCCTTTAATACAGTGGTATTAAATCCATGGGTGTGTGGATTAAGGGGCAAGGCAAGTAGTTGGTGTGAGGCTGTGCAGCTCTGGAAGGTTTTTGCATCCTCGGAAGATTTGTAAACAGCTCCTGGACCAGGGCAGCTGCACTACCTTTCTACAGGATATTAAAGCTTTCAGGGACTGTCTTGGTGTCTCTACTAGTCAAGCGACTAGAAACTATACCACAGGATAAAATTAATGTATTAATAAGCTGAGGAGAGTCAGTGGGGCTTTTGTAGAGGGAAGCAATGTCTCAAACCTCTGAGTTCTCTGAAGCACTCAAAAAGCACATAGGTAAGGGTGAACTGTTTTATATTGCCCCTGGCTCAAGAGCTGTGGCATAGCAGGCAATGTCCTTCCATAGGTGATTAAAGTGGGAAAATAGAGGGGGTGTTTCTCTCCAGCAAGGGAGGTTGTTGGTGGCATGTGTCTTCAGACCTGGGCTGGATAATGTAGTCAGTAAAACCAAGGGGTTATTTGATAGTTATTTAGGATGCTGAAAGAGAAGATTTGTTGGGGAGTTGCAAAACTCTTATGAAACTGAAATCTTATAGTATGGGTGAAAGTTATTGTAGGTATGTGCCAAAAGATGCCTAAGGGGAAAAATGAGGCTGTGCTTTGCCTTACAAGGGCTGTGCTCTGATCTGGCCTGCCAGTCCTGCACAAGACTTGGAACTATGGTAGCCATTCTCACCCAAATATTTCCACATCTGGCAAACCATATATTAGGGATGGTTAGGAAAGGAGTAAAATTGAGAACACACTTGTGCCTCTCTAAAGCTACTGTATGCTCACATCTTGAGGGCTTTGTGTAGTTCTGGTCCTTGCACTTCCAGGAGACGATTAAGGGTTTGGGAGAGGTTTGGAGAAAAGCCATGGCATCAGGGAGCGAGACATCTTCCTGACCCTCTGTGCACCCCAGAGCTGAGGAGCAGCTTGGACAAGGGGTATGTGAGCCCCTTGCCTGGGGCCACCTTACTGTGCAGGGCACAGGGCTGACTGCTGCTCTTCACCCTGCTCTTGCCGCTTCTAAATGAGCTGCGAAGAAAGCCTCAAAGGTCTTTTTCTGAGTGGTGATGAGGTGCTGTAGCAGGATCTAGTTAATCTTTTGTAGACCTCCCTGGGAGAAAGCCCCATCGACTGCCCTGAAATGATTAGGCTGTGCTTGCCCCAACCCCATTTGGCCACCCATAAATAGGCTCCTGATACCCAAAACACCCTCCAAAGCACTGTTTCCTCAGAGCTGAGGCAGGCAGAGGTTCTCACAGCTGTCCCAGCATGCAGACCTCCAGCCAGCTTTGGGAAAAGTAGCTTTCCTTGCATCTGCAGTAGAAATATGAGCCTAAAAATATTCTGCCTGCCCCTTTTTCTTTCAGCTGGGATGGAGGGAAACAGATGAAAAATAAGTGTGAACCTTCCTCTTCCAGCCTTGGGCTAAATATAGCCTCAAGTCTATTTTTAAAGGCCTTTTAATTTTTTTTTTTCTGAAACGCCTTATTTTCATTTGTTTTCAAAAACCACTGATACACATTTTTGCACACAAGAGGTTTTTCTTTCAGCGAAGCTGCATTTTGTGAAGCTGGAAACCTGCCAGCTTTTTAGCAAAAAGATTCCGTTCAGCTTTTGTTTCCATGAGTGATTATAGGATTTGGGTGAATTTTACCAGATTTAAAATTTCTTGGAAAGCTGGGGGCTGTAAGCACCTAAAGCTGAAAAATTAGTTTTGTTTCTGAAAAAGTCCTAGAAAATGCTTTTGTGTCTTATAGTTCAGCCTGGGATCTAACCTTGTCCTCTGGGCTACCTTGCCTCCCCAGGGGGCTGGGAGACAGAAGGGCCTGGCATGTTTCCAGGCCTTGGTTTCTGATACCAGAAGCTGGATTTACACTTGGCATCCTCTGAAGGGATTCACTCCATGGCTAAATGGGAGGATAGAGAAAAGCAGGGCGATCTGTAAAGTACCACTGTGTGAACAGCCCCAGGGCCAAGTCCAGGGATGCTCAGGGATGTCTCCTTCTACCAGCTTGGGCCAGCTCCTGCCCAGGCTCCCTCCTGCTCTGTGCCTGGAAGCCTCCATCCAAGAGTAACCTATCAGTTTAGCAATATTTTATCCAGAGGGCTGTATCAGCTGGGCTGGATGTTGCTGAAGCTGTGAGGCAGTTGTTTTCAGTAAAAGTTCCTGGGAAAATCTGATTTGGAAAAATGTTGCATGGAAGAAGTTGTGGGTCAGGGGAAATACGCATTTGAACTGAGAGAGCAAATGTGTTAATTCAAAAGGAATTTTAAAAAAAATGGAGTTATAAGCCCCTTGATCAGGCTCTTATTAAAGTCTATGCAGCTTCAAAACATGTCTTACTTCTTTGATTAGGGCTCAGCCAGCTTTCCCTCAGACACCGTGAGAGTGGAGATTCTGGGATCAGGGCAGGCTTCCCTTTGACACCTCCCACCAGCAACAGTATGCTCTGGGCTGTGCTCCTGGAGCCTGCCCTGCTTAGAGCCCCAGGGCACTGCACTCCTCTCGGGATGCTCTGGGCTGCAGAGCTCAGGCAGAGTGCAGGCAGGAGCCTCTCCTGCTGGGCTTCCAAAAACCAGAGCACCCAGGCAGAGGAGATGTTGTGTTACGGTGTCATTTGATCTTGGCTTGATGCTACCCTCAATACTAATTACTTTATATTAAAACATCTGTGAAAAGGAATAATAAATAAATAAAATTGAGCTTGCTGGAGAGAAGAGATGCTACACTGTGGTGTAAAGCACCAAAGCAGAAAGCAAGATTGCCTTTCATCTGCAATGGGGAGCAATTTTGCAAACCCATCCAGCTGCAACCAGGGATGATGGATGTAACAAGAAACAGGCAGCAATGCTGAGATATGAGTGCAAGTGGCACTGGCATGGCAACACTGGCCACCACCACCAGTAGCAGGAAAGGATGGGTGAGACTCTTGCTGGTGCCTTGTCACTTCTCAAGGCATCTCATCGGAGGCGCATTGGCCTTGGAGAGGAAACATAAAGTAGGGTGGCTCAAAACATGGTACCCTGAACGCTCATCCTCTGGAGTTGGAGCAAATCCAGCCCTTGCTGGCTGCGCCTCTGTTTCCTTATCTGTAAAGCAGAAATGAACAGGACAAGCCTCTCTGTAGCAGACTGTGAAGATCTCCAGATAGATGTGACGAATATATACAACAATGATTAAAGGCATCGGCACCCTTTACTATGCATACAGTCTAAACATGCTCAGGCCATCCCAGGCTCTTTGAAAACTGTTAGATGTTTTCAAGCTAAATATTTATTTTATCAGCGTAGAGCCAGGACTGCCCCATGTTGGGAGATTAGCTCAGCTCTGTCTGTCAAAGACATCTCGGCAAAGAGTTATGGGCTCAGGCAGGGCTCATGCATGGACTGAACACATGGGAAAAAATTCTGGAGCAGCCCAAGAGCCTGACCCCGCTCCCAGCAGAGCCAGGATGCCAGCTGGAGCACGCATTGTCCACGTGATAGCATGATGGACATTCCTTGCTCTGAAGTTTGACCCAAAACCCTTGAATAGCCACACAAGGATGCTGTGTTTTCTCCCTCTTCTTTGAGAAGAAGGTGTCTAGAAGACCTTTGCCCAAGCAGCTGGTGAAATATGACATTTAACCAACCAAGAAGTGATGTTGCCCGCTCAGGATGGGACCGATTAGTGTTAGAGAGCACTGGAAGCAACAGTGACATTAGCTGGGAACTTGGTTTATCTCGTTGTTCTAATAAAAACTTGAGCTTAAAAAAAAATGGTCATTACTGGAAAGTATTTAGCTTAAGTGACCCATGGCACGAATTATATTCTTCCAAGAGAGAAAAAAAAAGTGTGTGCGTGTGTGTGTGTGTATGTTAATGCCTGTAGTTACTATTGCTTTCCCCAGCAAAAACGCATATTTTGCCACACGTTTTGCAGGAACAGAATAAAGGAATAATTTGCTATGAGATGTCCCCAGGGCTGAGAGAGGAGCAGAGGGATGACAGAGAGCTGTGCCAGACTGGCACAGGAGCTAGAACCTGGTTTTCTTCACTCCGATGCTTTACCTTAAACCCATTTAAAATTGCGTGGAGAAAACATTTGTGGGCTGTCGTTGCTTTGGGCTGTGGTCCCTGCCAAAAATGCAGCCTCCTGGGAGACCCACTGCATGTCCCCTCATTCAGGGGGTACCTTACCCCCTGCAAACCTGTTTCTGTACCCTCCTACTATCCTTGGTGTGAGAAAATTCCCGCCAGGCATGGTGATGGTCTCAGTATGAAAAGTCCCATTGGAAAAAAGCTCATCCTGGATGCCTTTAAAGAAGACTAGAAATCATAAGGAGACACCCACTGCGTGTCTGATAACAACAGCAGGGACAAATTCACAGTCCATTTCCAGCATGCCCTTATATTTGTTATCCTTGTGAACTGGGAGTGCTGGAAGAGAGCAGTATGATGGGTTTTGTCCGTATCTCCCATCAGGGTCAGGAGATGGTCACCACCACGGTCACCACATAGCCACGGGTCTGTGGGAGTCGGTGATAGGCTTGGGGGGTTCTGATGCTCTGTGAGGTCTCTAGAGCAGAAGTGCAGGATTGTCCCCGTTCACAGGAGGGTTGCGTGGCTTTGCACTGGGAGCCCAGGAGTAGCGCAGGCATAGATATGCAGTCTTAAAAGTGTGATGAGTGCTAAAGAGTTGCTCCCTGCTTTTGCATGAGCTGCGAGCACACCTTGAGTGAGAGCACTACATCACCTTCACTTAAAGGGCAAGACAAGGAGAGCAGGAAAACACACTGAGAGCACACACTAAGCGAAGTGTGGAGGAGCTGTGGTGGTTGTTGAAGTACAGTGACTGCTGCTGTCAGAGGCATTGGCTACGGCACCAACTGTGCCCTCTTCCCTAGCTGCACCAATCCCCATCCCCAGGGCAGCCCCTTCCTGCACCACACTTTCACACCAGATGGCAAAATGCTCTGTATGGGGAAAAGAATTTTTACTTAATTTATTGCCAACTAACGCAAACTTCTAATCTTTGGTTTGATAACAAGAAAACAAGTAATTACATGCTCAGGTAAACAGTCATGCATGAGCTGATCAGACACCCATGCATGGACTGAGTGCTCAT